GATGACGGTCAGTGTCACAGATCTCTTGGTGACCTTGCTGGTCCGTGGCTCGTAACTGGGCCTATGACAGACAAACTAACCTTTGACACACACTGAACCCGAACGCACGCAGAGCACACACGACAATCTTTATTGCAAGTACAGGTAATACAATAGACAGTTGACTTCCCGCTGTGTGGTCACCTATTGCCTGGACCTTCTGGCCGAACAATCGCCTCGTTCCCCAGTACGTGCTACAGGCAATCTCCTGGTGCACAAACCACAGCCAGGCGAGATACGTTCTTTTCTATCAGACACACCGCAACTGCCGTACCACTGGTATGATATCTGAGAACAAAGGTTAATATGATATTAGAAAAAATTTTTAATGAGGTAACTGGAGAAAACAGTCTTGATTTTGGTGAAAGTCTGGTCTAGTTCTCGGTTCCACTCAATTGTATTGGAATACTCCCTTTTTAATAGTTTAGTGAAAGCTACAGTTTCTTGGATAATGTTAGGGGTAAATTGGTTGTAATAACTGATGAGGTCGAGTAAGCTTCGGATCTCCTAATTGGTGGTGGGGTTTTCAAAATTCAACATTTTGGGAAGATTCTCAAGATAAATTTGGACTTTTGAGGGGTTTTCTGTAAATCCAAAATGTAGGGATCCTTGACTAGCAGGTAATCTATGAGGCATCATTAATAAACATGCACATGTCAACAGTATACATTGCAGTACCAAAAATAATATACCACGTTTTATTTTGACCGGTTTGTTGACTATTAACAGTAAATGCTGGTAAATGTGTGTACATCTGCCTGGCACATCAGAGAGTACATTGCCAATTTCAGCTTTCTGTGTAGATGTTTCTGAAATTTGTTGGTTAATGTTAGGTGTAAAGAAATGTTTGTTTGCAGGTAAGTCTTGTTGTACAAAACAGACAATATCTGTCATATCTACTACAGTAGAGTCAGGAATGACAGTTATATTATGGAACTCCTCAACCACTAATTTGTCAGTTGGTTTAGAACACCCGTAGAACATGATGCTCCCTACCGGACGAGGTGATTCCACTGAAATCCTCATTCACGTCGTTATCTAAATTCATATTATTTTGAGGCATGATTTACTGGGGATAGTACAGCGGTGGTTTAACCTTGCCTTCCGCTGGTTTTTATATAGTTTGAATTCAATAGCCTTTCTCTAAAGAGACTTACCCAGCAAGGCAGAGGGGTGGGGGTGGAGAGGTTATTGCGCCTCTTACCCGCTGATGGCCTTGTCGTAGAGTTTTGAGGTATTTTATAGAGTTAGCTGTCCCACCAACTAACCCGCCTCCTCTCAATGATCATCACCTGTTTTGGTCCACGGCCACTTATTCAATCTATGCGTGGCTAACCTCTTTATCTAGAAGCTTTTCCACCATCCGCCACCTGGTGGACGCGCCTAGTAGTAGGACAGGCTCCTATCCCATGGTGCATATATATATATATATATATATATATATATATATATATATATATATATATGTGTGTGTGTGTGTGTGTGTGTGTGTGTGTGTGTGTGTGTGTGTGTGTGTGTAAATATTAGGGCTGTACCGAATATTCTCTTCGGGGCCGAATAGTGGACCTAATAACTATTCGGTATTCGGCCGAATAGTTGCGGTCGGGCCGAATACGAAAAGTGGTTACCTTACTCCCGTTTATGCATACACTGTGATGGACTGAAATAACTCTTTCATTAAAACAATAGTTGCTGTTGCCCAAGTCATTCGTAGCGGGGGAAACTGCGACCCGGTTGCGTGGTACAAACTGCATAAAATGCCAACCGCAGTGTGTGTGTGTGAGTGTGTGTCTGTATGTGTGTGCGTGTGTGTGTGAAAGAGAGAGAGAGAGAAAGAGAGAGAGAGAAAGAGAGAGAGAGAGAGAGAGAGAGAGATCATGCATTTTTCGTTCTTTCAGGGTGTCTTCGCCCAAATAAATTTTGAAGATATTGAGAATACGAGAATATGAAGGTGCGTTTAAATTACATCGAACGAACGGCCGAGCCAACGAGGGTTTTGAAAGAGGCGGGAGCCCGAAGACAACTAATCACAGACATCAGAAGGAGACAGTCGTCATTTTTCAGCCATGTTATGAGAAGAGGAAAAATTGAACATTTGGTGACCACTGGAAAGATCTGTGGAAGGAGGGATAGAGGAAGACAATGAGAGAAGATTCATGACAGTCTTGTTGCATGGCTTGGAGGTGTGTCAGCACACGAACTGATACATGCTGCAGGAGATCGCAGATCGTGGAGAGCCATGATCGCCTACGCCAGTGGGCAAGGCACCTGATAATGATGATACACTATTCGTATTCAGCCGAATAGTTAGTCCTACTATTCGTATTCGGCCGAATAGTGAAAATCACTATTCGGTACAGCCCTAGTAAATATGTACACATGTGTATGCAAACACGTATCGTGCATCCCCTCGTGAGTTTACAGAGGTGCATGTTTTGTTTTATGTATGTGTGTGTGTGTGTGCAATTGTACACGTATGTCTTTTTATGTGCGTGGGTGTGTAGTGCATACCAGCTCCCTTCCCAACAACCCTCACTAGGTACTTGAGTACCGGTCCAAGCCATTTCTTTTGGTACAATTATCATTTCTTAGCCAGCATAATTGAAACAAATAAACCAGACCACAATTATAACCGATACTGCTCGCAGTAAGCTGAACATGGTCGATCGCATGCAGAAATGGAGGAGCCGGGGTGTACACTGAGCACCCAAATAACACCAGATATAAAGCCAAAATACCAACAGAAAAGCACTGCCAGAACTAAGATGCAGAAGTACGAGCCATCAAAATAGCAGTAGAAAACTGCTAAATATCTGTCATATTTCACAGCCCGTGATATTCACGACATATGCATGAGCGGTACTTCACGCACTCGAATCTGGAAAATTACCTGGCATAGGGAAGTTACTCTCCGAACTAGGTAACCAGTGGATACTCTCCTATTGTGGAATTCCCGGAGTTCCTAGCTAAAGGAAGGTGCAAATGAAGAACAGCCTGACTTACCGGTGTCTTATCAATATAAGACATAAATATTATAATCAAATCAATCAGAAAGCCACTAAAACCGGCCAAAGACGATTAACATATAATGAACAGACTAGATCAAGTCATTATTCTACGCCTCACAACAGGGCACAATCGACTTAGCAGCCATACGTACACACAATTTACGATTGGTGAAACAGCAACGTGTGCATGTAGATTAGCACATGAGACAACAGATCAAGTCCTCCAAAACTGTCCCGGATTCAACATATTAAGGCAAAGCATTAGGCCAAGAGAAACACCGGTGCAAGCCAAACTTTACGGGTCACTAAGTGAATTACAAAAGACAGCGAAATTCTTACTAGAAACAACACTGCAGATATAGATATTCTATTTCAAGCGTACGAAAGAAGAAGAAAAAGAAGAAGAATATTTTTTTTCTTTTTTTTTTTTTTCATAAATAGATGGATGGATAAGTCGGGAGAATACGAGCGTACGCAAGCACTCACACAAAAAGTCTGTTAGTCAGCTACTGCTGCTGATGCTACTACTATTTTGCAACTACTACCACTTTTTTTTCTGCTGCTACCTGCTGTTGCTGCAATTGTTACTACTACTAATATTACTACTTCTACTACTATTAGTTATTTGCAATATTATTCGTACCCAGTCATGTCTTTGTGAGATGCAATTTTTCGTTATTCTGAAGCCCCACCCTGGCTCTTGCCAGGGGCCGCATTATAGCCGGACCATAAATATGGTCTAATGGCTGAACGCGGTTTCCAGGACCTCACCACGGGTGATCCTCATCCACATGGTGGCACTTTGCTTATCGCTTGTGTGATGTCCTGGTGGGGTAAAAGGACTACTACTAATAATAATATTCGTAAGAGGAGATTAAGGAAGTTTGTTTTTGATGCAGGCTATCTTGTCTCATAAAAAACTTTAGCTGCAAAATGAATCCAATTGTAATGTATTAAGAAAAAGGCTTGACGTGAGTTGGTCTAAATCTTGTAGCTACATCTAGAGATTAAATCAGAATAGAAATACGAAGATAATGATACAGTTCTGTTAGTGTTTAGTGATGATATTAACTGGGATGATGCAGCAGAAAAATAAAAGACTGATCATGATAAGAAGGAAATAAATAGCAGCTGCACACCAAGAGGTAAAAGATGATGATGATAATAATATTAATCATCATCAGGTGCATTGCCTACTGCTTGTATTAGTTCGTGTGCGGACAAACCTCAATGCCATGCAACAAGGCTGTCAAGAATCTTCTCTTGTTGTCTTCCTCTATCCCTCCTTCCACAGATCTTTACAGTGGTCACAACATATTCCTTTTTCCTTGCTCTCATAACATGGCCGAAAAAAGATGACTGTCTCCTTCTGATGTCTGTGATAATTTGTCTTTGGGCTCTCGTCTATTTCAAAACCTCCTGGTTGCTGTTAATAATGTGATAATGAACAATAAGAAAACGACTAACACGCTGAAATAGAAGACGATAGTGAAGGAGGAGAAGGAGCATCGATAGGATTGTTTTTTAAATTTTTTTCTTCCGTTCTAGAATTACCAAAACAAACACTGTAGGCATCTTGTTGAACATGTAAAATATGCACATTTTTTTGCTTTAGTGTTTCGGATTGTTCCTTTGTCCATTTTCTGCTTTAGTGCCGGCAGGCGACTCGGTATTAAATAGCTGCGCAACAAAACAACTATAAAGTAAAAAAACAAACTGTCTTTATTACAACAGATGAGAGTGAAGCCTGGAGATTTGTCTTTGAAATATCCTATTCAAACAAAGCATGTGATTAAGAAAAGGAATGTAAAAAAAAAAAATTATTTATTTATGAAGAATCATCTTATCCTGACTTATTTGTTTCATGTATGGCAGAGCTGTTTAAAATTTATGGAACTTCCGTTTAGTCACTTCCTCTCCGTCGAATTATAACCTGAAAGGACATAACTAAAAATGGTAAATATAAATATATCAGTGTAATCTTTTGGTAAATTAACATATATCAAGCCCAGTTTAACTGATATTTATATGATAATTTGTTTTTCAACTTTGTGTGATAAATTTGGGATTCTTAGTATTACATAATTTGTGTTGTCATTCAACTTCAAGGCAAATTTACAAACAATAACAATGTAATTTGTAATAAATTTAGTCATTAATTGTTTAGCATAAGTCAGTAGCAATAACAGAACATACCTCCAGGTTTGTGGGTAATAAAAATAGCGTTTATAACGACTAGTTTTTAAGCGGCACCATTACATAATATATACTGTTGATTGTTAATTTAAATAAAAATATTAAAATAAAACAGTTGAAGTTAGTTCAAGTTGTGTTCGGAAGCCAGAAGGATCCCTATTCATTATCAATATTATTATTATTATCATGATTATTCCCATGCAGAAATCCTTCTTGCTTCGCTTGCATCCAAGTTAATTTTTTTTGGGGTATGCTGTGGCAGCTATCCTCCGAATAATGGTCCCAAATTATCGAGGCCGAAAATATACCCTAACAGGGCCTCAGTCACATGTAAATTGTGGACTTACGCGCGGCCCGGAGTGGGGCTAAACTAGATGGCTCGGACTCACAAGCAAAAAAATGGACGCTGCAGGAGACGCGGTAGCTGCTGCTCGTGAGTCCTAGCCGTCTAGTTTAGCCCCACTCAGCGCGTGTCTGTAGTCGCAGGAAGTCCGCATTTTACATGTGACTGAGACCCTGTTACTAACAGTGTTAGGGTATATTTTCAGCCTCAATAATTTGGGACCGTTATTCGGAGGAAAGCGGCTGTGGCTTTGTACCCAGTTCTCCTTTTAAATGTGTAACAAGTTAACTATTTCATGCCATTGTTCTTAATTGTCTGGTCCTATTCAGGCAGATGTAAATGATAAATGTAACTATTGGTCTTGAGTTTTTGCCAAGCATTTCTTAATGTCAGTCCAAATCCAAACATAGTGTTTTGTGTGTCTATCCATTTTACTGCTCTTGCTTATTAACTTATCATATTTGTATGCAGACTGTGTTAGTTCCTTGCCTTTCAGACAGACGCACTTCGACATTTAAGGAAATCCCCAATTAGTCGGCTCTCACGACATGACTATCTTTATGATCTTATGTAAACTTGTGCTTATTATACAGTTTTTATTTGTAGCCTCAGGAAGGGGTCTGAACCTATCCTATCTATTCCGCAATCTTCTTCTTCTTTGCATTCACCAGCTGTACACTCTGGCGGAAAGTTCTGGTTGTTTGTCCACACCTGGACTGCATCCTGTTCCAGAAGCTGAATGTTGCCTGTGCATCAGTTTTACAGATCTGATTATCTTGAATGCAGACTGTTGGTTCCTTGCCTCTCGGCAGATGCACTCCGACTTCAAAGGAAGCTACCTATTAGTCGACTCTTACAACATGCTTTCTGGTAGGCAGTGGGTCTATTCTTGTTTTCCCCCACAATGAGGCCCCAGATCCCGCCGCCATATAATTTCAACATTCTCTGTTTCACAGGCTGAAACAGCAGAGGACTTGGCTGAAAAGAAGAAGAAAAGAACTTTCCGTAAGTTCACGTACAGAGGTGTTGACTTGGACCAGCTGTTGGATATGTCCATGTAAGTTAGTTAGGAAGTGTAGGAACGTTTTTGTATGTTACAAACAACTAATTATCAATCAAAAGAAGACAGAATACATGGTAATGACAAGACAGGGAAAGGATAGTAACTCGGACCACAAACAAATCAATTATTTAAAAATCAGACAAATGGAAACATAATTACTTTTGTGCAAACTTCAACTGCTCCAGTAAGAGAAGAAATATAGTCTAGAATGCAATCTGGAAATAAAGAATGCTATGCTCTACAACATCTGCTAAAATCAAAGTCTGTCTCCTAATACCAAGATCAAAATTTATAAAATGATGATAAAACAGACCCTTTTTTTTTTAATGGCTCTGAAACTTTGAAAAGTCTTATGATGAATTTTTGGACCCATTGAAGATGCAGACAGAGAGGAATAAGAAGTAAGAAGCAACAGCGATGTTCGTTTCAATTACCATTGATCATTGTCATCATGAGGACTAATATACTGAAATAGCTGGGGCAGTTAAATGAATGACAAAAAGAATGTACCTATTTGTGTGGCCACAAACGCCCTAGACCTGCGGGCTGCTCCCCGCTGATCTCCGGAGAGCCCAGCTTTGTAGCGCGGGAAGCTCAATACACGGTTGTGAGGTTAAGCAGTTATGGGCAGGACGTGACGATTCCATGGGTGAGCCCAGAACCAGAGCATTATGTGTCGGCTCTGCATTTATGGAAGCCTCCTTGGATGGCGGGGAATGCCCATGATCTGCCCCTGCCTTCCCTTGAGGGCTGAAAACTACACAGAGCTGCCTTAAGGACGACATTCCGGGGGCCACACCTGTTAAAAGTCAAAGAAGACACCACACATATGAGGCAACATCTCGACCCACACAAAACAATGGCCACAGTCAACCTAGAAACAGGCTTGACGTCTTCCACCGAAGTCGGAGTACATCTGCCGGAGAGGCGGGGAACAAGAACTGCGAACAAATAAGCCAGTAAAACGGATGTACACGCAAAAGCCAAAAGTCCATTTTGGACGAACAACCGTGACTTACCGCCGGAATTCACAGCAGGTGAAGAAGAAGAAGAAAAATGAATGACAGACGATAGTGAGGCACAAACTATGGACACTAGGGAGTTGAATGGTCGTAGCCCACAAGGCAGACTAAAAAGACAATGAAGACCTACAAACACTTGAAGTCAAAAACTAGAGAAGACTAATTCAGAGACATGAATGGAGATAAGTGACTGATATCTGAGCAGTGAACCTCACAGGCTGGGAATGATGCACAAGATGGACATACATAAGAAGATTGGGTATTAATAGCTCAAGAGATGCAGAAGAGCTGAACCGCACGAGCTTGTGCACCAGGACCAGGGCTGATACTAGTCAAGACCCATCTGCATCTCATCAGGGTAATCATAGTAACGGGTTAATGCATATAATTAGACAAAGTGTGTGTATGTATGTGTAGGCGTATTTGTGTATATATGAATTTTGGGCTATCTTCCGAATAATGGTCCCAAATTATCGAGGCAGAAAATATACCCTAACAAGGCCCCAGTCACGTGTCAATTGCGTACTTCCGGCGACTATACCGCCGCCACAGAATTACGAACTTCTGGCGACTTCCGCCACCGCCGAGAGTATCCCCCACGACGCTAACGCGACTTGGATTGGGGCTAAACTAGAAGGACTCAGGGGAAAATAAAATAAAGGCAGCTGCAGGAAATGCGGTAGCTGCTACTCGTGAGTCCCAGCCATCTAGTTTAGTCCCAATCCACGCCGTGTGGCGGAAGTCGCAGGAAGTGCGCAATTCAAGTCGCCGGAAGTACGCAATTTTCACGTGACTGACGTTAGGGTATATTTTCTGCCTCGATAATTTGACCGTTATTCGGAAGATAGCAGAATTTTGTGTATGTATGGGTGTTCGTGTACGTATGAATTTGTGTATGCATGGGTATATATGAGAATGTGTATGTAAGTGTATATATGGGTGAGGGTGGGTGTGCATTTGCTTGTGTGCACTGGCATTTTCCATCGATGCTTTTGTGTTTTTTCTTTATATATAAGATATATTTGTGAAAGATGGGTGTTTGGAAGTGGTGCATGCGTGGCCAAAATGTGACCCTTTGAAAATTAAATTCTTTTATTTATGCCCAACCTGGGGAAGCTGGCCAACATAGATAGTAGCAACATTTGCTTTGGATTTAGAGTGCATCTGACTGAGATTTGAGGAACCAACAATCAGTTCACAAATAAGCCAGATCTGTAAAAATTATGTGCACACAATATTCAGGTCCTGGAACAAGACCCGAGTCCAGAAGTTGACAAACAACCAGGACTTTCTAGTAGAGTTTACTGCTGGTGAATGGGAAAAAGAAGAGAAGAATATATAGCTATTTGTAATAAATATGTTTCCCTGATAAAGCAGTGTTAGCAAGTATATGATAAAACTCAGAGGTACCACATCTAACACTAACTTGATGCATTAAAAAAAATTTACAGTTAGGGTTTTTTAAAATAAAAAATTAAACGACTGATGCAATCTATTTGGTGTCTCAGAAAAAAGGTTTTGGACAAATTTCAAGGAACCTTGTATACTGCACACATAAAAAATTCAGTAGTTGGAAATTGAAAACAGCATGCTATCTAGGCTACTACCTAATTAAATTTCACATTTTAAAAGCCTGCCTACACATTATTTTAAAGGGTCTGATTCTGTATATAATATATACACTTTTAGATTTTGGGGCATTTTAAGAAGTTCATGCACTGTGTTGACATATTGTAACTTATAGTAAGAGACTGAAGCAGCTATGAAATATCCATACGCAGTGAAAAAATTATGTTTTACAATCCAGATATATCTAGGCTTAGATCCTTCTTCTTTAAATTTTTGCTCCACAACTTGTGTTTTGCATGCACATCTGTTTTTAGATCTGCTTATTTGTATGCAGACTGTTGGTTCCTCATTTTCACTCTGATGCACTCGACTTTAAGGGAAACACCCCTAATTAGTCACCTTTTACGAGATGCTTATTAAGAGGTACAGTGGGATTATTCCTTATTCCCCCAAAATGGGGTACCAGAGGGCTTTGCCCCAGTATAAAAAGCAGATAAAAATACTTACTTGCCTACTTAGTCACTTCTCTTCTACCTTAGGGTGTAAGGGTTTGCCAGAGAGATCGACAGACTTCTCTATCAGCTGTTTTTTTTAAACTTTGTTCCATTCGGGTACTCTGTTAGATGTTGTCTTGCCAGTGAACCCTGGATTGTCCTGGTGGTCTGGTTCCAAATCTGGGAAACGGATAAGCACGCAACATTCAGGTTCTGGAACACGACTAAAGTCCGGAGGTGGGTGAACTGCCAGATCTTTTCACTAGAGTTTACATCCAGTGAACACGAAGAAGAATAAATTGGCCTAGAACTTACACTGTAATGGTAGATGAAATGTAGGTGAAGACATTTATACTTAAGATAAAATGACAGTTTAAAATAGCTGGGTTCTCATACTGGAGACCAGGTTCTAATCTTTGGTAGAGGGATGGACATTTTTTTCTGTCAGCGAAAAAATTTTAACCTGCACAAGCCATGGTGCCCCTCCTCAGACTGTGGGACCCTTTCCCTTCCTTAAAAAATTGTAAATACAAGCAGAAAAAGATGGCTTTGTAACAAAACAAAATATGTGACATGGACATTGTGTTGTTTGTTTGCATTAACCGGCTGTAAACCCCCAGCAAAAAGACCTGGTTGTTCATCCATTTTGGGCTTTGTTCCAGGACCTGAGTTTTGTGTGTCCATCTGTTTTATAGCTCTCGCTTATTTGTATGCAGAGTGTTAGTTCCTTGCCTCTCAAACAGATGCACTTAGACATTTAAGAAGCCCCCAATTAGTCGGCTCTAACGACGTGCTTGTTAAGGAGGCATTGGGTCTCTTCCTGTTTTCCTACAGTGGAACCCCAGAACCCACACATAAAACATAATTTTATTTTGCTTGGTAAGTCCTAAAAAAAAAGTTTACATGCCTTCATCAGGGATCAGCTCGCAGATCTGTTTAATGCACGTCAGCGTCGGCGATTGAACCGAGGTTTGAAACGGAGACCTCTGGCACTTATGAAAAGGCTGAGGAAGGCTAAGAAGAATGCTGGACCTTTAGAGAAACCAGAGGTAAGTTTGCTTGTCATATCCACTGTCAGCCTCTTTTCCTCCCTCACCTGTTAACCACATTGACCTATTTTTTTTTTTTTTAAATCTTTTAAACATGTGCTATTGCTACAACTTATTGTGTCATGATGTATTGCAAGTTTAAAATTGGCATTGTGGGTTGAGGACCTGTGTTCTGTTGGAAAGTAAATGATAACTCAGATTCGTTTGTTTGAGTCTTGATAGATTGGAGGTGGACATTAAAAAAAAAAAAGACCTTAGCTCCAAGGTTGACCCAACCTTGAGTGGGTACTAGGTATAGTCCTGGAAAGTAGAGGTGCCTGGCAGGATGTTGACCACATCACCTTCCTAAGAGCTAACTGGTCTGTAAAAAATAGATCTTACCATATATGCCTGAAGGCAAGGAAAAGGGGTCCTTTACTTAATTTTTTTAACTGAATGTCCTTGAACATGATTTTTTTGTGTTATCTCAGAAGATCAGATTGAATTGTAGCAATCTGTTGGTTATTTTCCCTTCATTGACTACATCAGATGTTTTTCTTTTTTTTTAAATGGCACTGTTTAGTTAGTGTGTAGTCTATTTTCTTCTTCTTTATTAACTCTGACGGAAAGTTCTGGTGTCCATCCACCTCCAGACTTTATAGTCTTGTTTCACAACCTGAGTGCAGCGTGCACATCATTTTTTACAGATCTGGCTTATTTATTTGCAGACTGTTGGTTCCTTGCCTCAGACAGATTGTAGTTCGACTTTGAAGAAAGCTCTGAAATTAGTTGATTCATGCTGTTTTGGGGAGACAGTGAGTCCATTCCTGTTTTCCTAACAAGGGGGCCCTAGAACCCAGATAGGAAAGACTGCTTTTGATTGATTTGGGTTCTTGATTAGCTGAATTTCTTTTTTCCAGGTGGTAAAGACACATCTCCGAGACATGATAATTGTTCCAGAAATGATTGGATCTATTGTTGGTGTATACAATGGCAAAACATTTAATCAAGTTGAAATCAAGGTACTTGCAGTAAAATTAATTTATTTACATGCACACTATTTTATTTGAATGCAAGAATTCATTAATTTGTGTAAATCCAAGTGATCATAAGTACAGTGCAGGCTGCTTAATGCATTTTCTGTTTTGTTTTCTTCTTCTTCAGCATTCCGAGCCCTTGAAGTTCATTGCTGCAGATATCACCTGCCTCCATTAATCTCTCTGGTTGGCCTTCTCTTTCCATTTGGTAACACCAAGTGTTTGCAGGTCTGGATATTATCTCTCCATCGACTTCTTGGTCTACCTCATGGTCTACAACCATTCATCTCCCTGGTGTATACAGTTTTTACTTCTCTGTCATCTGACATTTTTTAAAATATGCCCTAACCATTTCAGTCTGTTAGCTCTCTTGATGCCAGTGATCAGTGGTGATTTAAACAGATTCTGAATTTCGTTGTTGCTTCTCACAATCCATTCACTGCTGTCTGCATATTTGATGGGTCCAAAGATTTGTTGTAAGACTGTTTTCGAAAACCTGCAATAAGGCTACATCTCTTTTAGTTGTGCTCCAAGTTTCAGAGCCATATAACACGACTGGTCTTATCAATGCTTTATATATTTTGATCTTGGTGTTGCGAGACAGACAATTTGACTTTAGCAGATGTTGAAGGGCATAGTATACTTTATTTCCAAATTGTCTAGATTGTATTTCTTCTCTTAGCACGTTGGAGCAGTTGAAGTTTGCACCCAAGTACTTATATGTTTCCATTCATTTGATTTTGAAGAGTACAATTTGTTTATCCCTTGCAGTTTTTCTTGCTTGAATTCTTATCTGGATAAGAGTAATTTCTGATAAAGATAAATGATTTTGCAGGTCTCCCGTGAGTTCTGATCATATCTGCAGTATATGCTTTTGTAAGATATAACCTAGGATTTTTTGAACTGCATAATAATTGTTTTCACATTGTAACGTTTTGTTGGAGATAATGTTACCATATGCCAACCACATATTTTATCTTTCAGCCTGAGATGGTTGGCCACTATTTGGGTGAATTTTCCATCACCTACAAGCCTGTTAAACACGGCAGACCTGGTATTGGTGCTACCCATTCCTCCAGGTTTATTCCACTCAAGTAGTTGATGTGAATAAATTCTGTTTACACATTTTGATTCCGTATTTTTTGTTGTTGCTTAGTTTGTGATATGTGTGGTTTAGCTGAAGGTGAAGTGAAATTTTGTTGTAGGGATAAAATGGGTGAATTGTAGGGATTCATCATCTTTAGAAGGTCGGTTTTAGTATTTGTTTTTTTTTTGGTGGCTCATGGAGCACATAGTTCTAAAAAAATAAATTGATGGGGCCGCTGATATCATTAACCACCCGCTCCCCCCAACCTTTTTAGAGTGCAGTGCAGTCCTTTTACAGTGTTAACATTATAAATTGCAAGTTCTTTAGTATCACTGTTAAAATTTCTAAAATATCTATTAGTCAGCGGCAAACCTTTGAAAATGTGAGGGGTTAGGGTGCACCAGTAATAGCTAAGTGGTAAACACTTCCAGTCAATATTGTGATTAGGCAGGCTCTACTATTTTTAGTCATGACAAGTTTGTGCTTCTCAAAACTGTTAGCTGCTGTAGTTTCCTCCCTTTGTGGAATGAAATAATATAGTCGTCACCCAGCTACTGAATGTATTGGATCGACACTGAGCTGCAGATTTTTATTTAGAATGCTTTTTGACAGTCCCCCTACTGCTGATTCCATCAGCGATGAAATACATTTCTAGTGCCGAACTGTTTGCGTTGGCACAATTTTTTTTCCCACAAGCGGCAGTTATGGCATTTTGTGTGGTTTTCGCTGGCACAGGAACGGATCAACTGTGAGGTGACCCATTTCCTGGGAAGCTGGAACTGCAGTTACTTGATTACCTGGCAGTCCTAAAAATGGAATTTGAGATTAAAGTGAAAAAAGATGCCTTGAACTGGATACTATGGCAAATGATAGGATGTTCTGACTTGGGCTTTTTAAATGTCTGAGCTCTAATGAGGGACAAGAAGAAAAAAATTAAAATGTTGTACAGTGTAAAGGTCCCTTTACACGCCACTTGCGCATCTGGCATATGGACAATCTGCCCTTGATGGGTGATATGATCGACTGCCTTTACTTCCCAGGACTTTACCACGTACCCATTTAAGGCAGAGTCAACCTGGGAGTCAAGATAATGTTTGAAAAATAAAATCTAGCTCCATGAGGATTTAAACACACTAAGAGTGTAATGAGAACATGCACAATAACTAAAGCAAACAGCAGTATACAATCAGGTAAATGTTCTGTGTGGTTTCATTAGAGGGCAGAAACTGAACTTGAGAAAGTTATCTACCATCTCTACTACTTTATACAAGTGAATCATAGACATGGAAAGAATTAGTCCCTATGAGGGCTTGATTCTGAGTGCATGGCTGAAATAGCTCCAGCAGTGCTTTCTTATGAAATTAGGTACATTACTTGCTTGGTCTCTTGTCTTATTTGCTTTTTGAATCTGAAATCTGTCTAGGGGAGATTTAGTATTCTTCTGAGACATCTGTTCTCAACATTGTCTAATTTTTTTATCCTGAGCTACCATTGCTTTCCAACTTTCGCATCCATAAGTTAGCTGTGGAATCACACAAGAGTTGAAGATGCCCAGTTTTTTTTTCTTTCTAAATTTCTTTGATTTCCGGTTGTTTGACAGTTTGATAAAAGAACTAGATGCCAGTGGGATTTTAGATATTTCTGGCGCTCAGTCTCCTATAGATGTCATCTTACTCCCTAGGTAGGGAAAGAATACCAAGATTTAAAACAAAATGTTGGCACCTGTCTTTCCAGATGATAGCAAAATAGTGTGAGAGGCATGGGAAAAACAGTCCATGGTAAGACCTGCTCGCGTTGGGAAATCTTTTTCGTAGAGCAGAAATTTCAAGGCCATTGTTCCCATTGCATGTATTTAACATGTTTTTGCCTCTTAGATGTTCAGCTCTCAACCGGTTATTCATGTCCCGCTTGTGCACATCTTTTTATCATGGAGGAAGACTTGCTGTTTCTACCAATCTGTTTATTCACCATATGTGATGTACATAAAGAAAACCATCCTTCGAGAATGTCTTGTCTTAGTCATATGTCTTCAACGACTGAGCATTGTGAAAACTCTTGATCTTGTCTTGCCACTAAAGGCGGAGTATTCTTTACAGATAAAGAAGCTTGTGATCAAGGATCCATGTGAACCTCATGTGCAGCTATAAAAATTGATATCCAATAAAGGATATAATATTAAAAGCAAAATTATTTCAGAAAAGTAAATTTGTGTGTGTGTTGTTAAGCTCTTATGGTAAAGGTGTGAAGATCGACTTCATTGCACCAGATTTTATCCCATATTTCTCAGTATCTGACTGCAGAACAGCTAGCTGCTTGCGTAGCACAGAGCATGACTTCCCTAGTTCAGACGATGATCAGCAGGCATCTCCGTAAAAATTGCACTCGTAACCTGAACGGTGCCACCTGGAAATGAACCCATGACCTTCAGAGCAATAGGTGAACGGCTTGGCCACGGAAACCCCCCAAGATCTTATGAGAATAACTGATTTGGAAAATGTTGACTGACTGACTACCCCACTAAGACATCACACAAGCGATAAACACCCAATGACACAAAGTGCCATCATGCGGATGAGGATCTCTGTGGAGAGGTCCCAGAAACCGCGTTTAGACAATTGGCCACATTTATGGCCTGCATATATTGCGGCCCCTGGCAAAAGCCAGGGTGGGGCTTCAAACATCCGAAGTTTAAATATGTTTTCAGGAAGGCTAACCGGGTGAATGAATGCCAGATAAAGTCGGTTGTGTCAGCCAAAAAGCGCAAAGAAGGCAGCTATGCTGTGCAAACAGGCACAATACAATTACGTCACTCAGACGAATAAAAAGAAGCATGTATTTGAGGCCAGGAAGCAAAGGCTGTGTGTGAGTGGCACAGAAGATTTAACGGTTAAGCTCTCCAAGAATACTGGGATGCTAGTAGGGAGTGACCAGGGAGTCTTTTAACGTACGGACAATGCACACAGGCGTCCGATCTCACTACCCAGAGACCACAAGAGGTCCAAGTCCACGTGAAAATATTACAGTCCTTATAGCACTCGAAGCGGACACCATGCCTCGAAACCACGCAGCCCCCAAGGACAAGATGATGATGCTTAATATACTCCCCAACGCAACGAAGTCAGTTGTCAACTCACTAAGAAATACACTTACTTGATTAAGAATAAAGGATCATCGAAAAACTGGATTGCTTCAGTTGCTTGTTATGGCACACGATGATGATGTTTAATGTAACAGCTGGGTCAGTAAACACATAGACATAATCAGTTATACAATTTAACGAAGAAGATAGTCCATTTTCTAACATCACGTTTATTAAATAACACATTCACTGAAATAAATTATTGTAAAATATTGGATTTTGTGATATGTACAATCAATCAATAATGGTTAGACTATCACTAAGTGGTGTACGTCTGCACCCATGAAAGCAACGAGGTAGATTTGTCAGTTGTTGGGACCATCATTTATGGTGTTTTAGAGTCCTGAAATTAGAAACAAAAACATTGTGGCTGAAAAAAAAATACACACATGTATATACATTCATAAACAATACGTATACGGCCATGGCCATTGAGTTAACCGTATGTGTCGATTCCTCCCCACCAAATATATGGTTGACACATTCCGTTTCTGGGGACAGCTTTTATCGAGTTTGCTCTCTAGACAGTTGCAGTCCCCTGCTGACGAGATTCTGTCTTCCCGAGTGGACCGCCGCGATCAAAACATTGCGAAGGCAGAGTGGTCGAGGCTGCCAAAACTATCGGTCATTATCCCGCCCCGACACAGCACAACCACAATACACGCTGTTCCCACGAAAAACACATCATATCCTGCATTGGAAATGCGCATAAAATAGCAGTCCATGATTATGAAACAGAACAATCCGAGAGAATTGACAGCCAGCGAAAATAAACACAGCTGCTGTCCACCATTTTGAAAACGGAAGTCATACGTATACAATATAGAGTTTTAATTGACGAGTATTTCTGTTGTAAGTGAGGCTTTTTCTTTAGAAAAATAGTAAGGTGTACTGTATTTTTTTTTTTTTTTTAAACTGCCAATTACTGCCTTTATTACCATTTTTGGGGTTTAGGCAGGGGGGTCTTTGAGCCTGAGAACTTACAGCCGCATGGCTAGTGTTGTCACCACGACTGTACAGGTGAGAATTTTTATTTTGCACTCGACAGAAAAAAAAATCCCTAGCCCTACCGAGGATTCTTTTTTTAAAGCATCCAGAAGCCACGAGTTGATAACCCTTAGGCTCGGTATTATGGATATCGCAACCCTGCGGCCTTAATTCCATGATAAATACCGTAAATCTAGGAGAAATGTGGCTTTTCTGCCTACCCCCGGACAACAAGGAGTTCGTCACCCGGTCACCGCGCAATGCTGTTTAGTCAACTACGCTAGCGAGCCGGGCTACCGAGGATTCAAATCCAGGTCTCCCGCTTGAGAGTCCAGTGTTTTAACTGTTCAGCTAGCCGCTCCTCAATTTTTTTTTAATGTTTCAAATTAGGATTTACACTTACCCAAAAAAAAAAAAAAAATGTAATCTCTGAACTGTAAGATAATTTATTTAAACAAAAACAAAAAAACATGGTTAAAATACCCAGAAGAAACCACTGGTTGTAATAAATATTAGAACTGCAAACAAGCAATTTTATTAATTGTTAAAACGAATACGGTCATTTTCACTGAAGCCTCATCCTCGCTTTCAGTGCTGGATTAACGTGGTAATTAAATTTAGTAACAGTAACTGAACACGTGTTTTTTGCTTACTTTTTGTCATTGTCGTGTTATGCTTTTTTATGTGACCTCATGTGCCATTGTCGTGAACAAGTGTCCTTGACTTACTTTATGGCCCGGGTGTTGACCAAGCCTCAAACCCAAGATGTTGGTACGATAATTTTTATACTGTTCGGTTAGACCTAAAGACAAAGTGACGAGGAAGTTAACTTTTCAACACATGAGGGGGTGTCTATTTATTTATAAGTTTCTAGAAAGATCAGCT